GCAGCGACAGTGGAGAGGAAAACTCCCTTTTAACAGGAAGAAACCTCCAGAGAATCCTGGCTCAGTATAAGCAGCCATCCTCCACGACTCACTGGGGATCGAGAAGACAGAGCGCGCACACACACACACACACACACACACACACACACACACACACACACACACACACACACACACACACACACACACACACACACACACAATAATGTGTCTATAGTTCTATTGTGATGTCTTAGTAAATATTCTGTTTGGTGAGATCAACTTTATTGTCTTTATCCTAGTGGATCTCTAATTAAATGGGTAAACTAGCAGTAACACGTCCAACGTCAAGGAAAGCAAAAAGTTATTATCAGGAGAAGGAGAATGTTTAAGTGGTTAGCAGAGTCATTGGTACTGATTCTCTGTAGATCTTCTCAAGAGCCCTCACCTGGAGTTTCACACTCCACAGTGGGGTCATGACCCAAACTCCAGATGCAGCAAACAGAAGCTGAGACGCTGAAGGACATTAAATGTTGCAAATGTGAAAGAAAAATTAAACAAAAGGAAAATGTATTTGTTCCATCATCCAACAATGTAAGGGATAAACTCTTTTAACGCTGACACATAAAGTAGCTATAAAATTCAGTTATATAAAGTTGATGAATTCTTCAGAAATAGACAAGAATCAAATTATGTGATTTTTAAATGAACCCTTATTATAAACTAAAATAAATGTAACTGTGAATGGAGAGTTGGTATGAATTGCAAAGCATCAGAAATCCTAAGACAAACATCTTGCTATTTTGGTGTTCTGTCACATTCTATCTTTTACTCCACGGCTCCCAGCAGATTGAGATTTCTCATTAGAGTTGGCTGAGATGCAGGTGAGCCAGGGGTTACATCTAAATTCAGGTATTTGTATTCCTCCAAAACACCCAGGGAGCAGGGTGTTTGTAGTGATGAGCAAATAGACTTGGCCTTGAACCAGGACCCTCGCCTAGTGGTCACATAAATCATTTGGCTTCTTAGAGGCCATTCCAAACATATATCCCACCAGCTTCAGACAGTGTGAAGACAATTTTTTCTGTCCTGCAGCCACATCAATACTCGCATGAATCAGACGTTATCAGTGTGAAAAATAAGAAGACCTGCAGGCATTGGAAACTGAACACAGAGACTTTAAATCGTGCAGCCCGGCAAGGTTTAAGCCAAGTCAAGATGGTCGTATGGACCCATCTTCATTCAGACCTTGTCTCAACAAAAAAGTACACACAATTTTATTTTTTATTTAAATTGATCAAGGCTAATAAATGTTCTGTTTGATCATCTTCATGTTGAAAACACAACTGCTCCAACGGGTTTTTCTTTCCTCTGTAATTTGGCATCTTAAACTGTTTTGGGAAAGCTGCCTTTTGGCTTTAATTTAAAACCTATAGATGAAAGTATTAGTAGAGATCTTAAGTCTGTGGACTAAATTTGAAGCCGATGCCAGCACGTGATTAGCTGAAGCAAGGTAAAACGAAGCCGAACAGACACTCCAGGGTGTCAGTCTGACTCAAAAAGCCAACTTTCTCCACACGTCCCCAGGAAAACGACGGAGAAGAGCTACAGCCCATCGAGTGAGGCCTCGTTGAGAATCTGCTCACCACTTGGCTGGTTTTCATCCCTCACTTGTTTCCATCTACTTGTGTATTCATGTCTCTCTTTCCAACACTGTCTTCCTGCGTCTCTGTCTCTGCTTCTCAAACCACCACATTGACACAGAAAAACAGGAACATCCACAGAAACTTGAGGCTGACTTAACACATGAGGACAAGACTGTTGACACTGGGAACTGTCAGAGAATTGTCAGACTTGTATCAAAGAGACACCTCGGAAATATCTTGACGCGTTCATCTGAAACCAGGTGCGCCGGGAGCAGCCCAGGAGCCCTCCGTGAACACATGAATCCCACCAGTGATCTGCAGCCTGTCTGATCTCAGAAATGCAGGTCTGAGATCAGAGGAGATCTCCTGCTTTATGACCAAACGTGAGACAGGAGTTGATCCACACACACAGTTCATGGAAAACCTGCTCAGTTGTAGCAGAAATGGTACACACAACCCTAACCCAGTTCTGGGACAGTTTAATTTATAACCAGAATCATTTTGTATAAGCACAACATGTTATTCATGTTTATATTTTCCTGCACCAGCTATGCAGGATATCTATATGGCAGTTAAACAGTTATATTTAAAGGAACACGTAGCAACTTTTTAATATTTTTAAATCATTTTCTTGAGCCAGAATGTGCTAAAATGACCCTTTACAGGGTTAGTGAAAATGTCCCTCAAACCCTATAATAATATATTATATTATTATTAAAATATTTCACTTGCAACTTCAGAGTGGAGCTGACATGCCAGTGCTGCAGTCTGTTTATGTTTCCTGCATGTTTTAGATCATGAACACAGCTGATTTGTTTGATTGAGTGAGGAATCACTCCTGTAGACACTAATGAAGGCTGAGGAGGCGTTTCAGCTGTTAGCTTAAGGTGTTAAAAAGACAAACTCACAGCGATGAGGTAAGTTTCACGTTTGGTTTTAATAACTAGACACTGGGAGGTGCTAAAAGCAAGCCAAAACTGCAAAGTCTTAAGTTATTACCACAACTCGTGCATTTTCAAATGAGCTGGCGGTCCTAATAATATGTTGACCCGGATATCAGGCTGAACTTGTTACAGTATGTCTCCTATTAAAATGATCCTTGTTAGTAAAAGAAAACTTTGTCTCTGAGCCCTTTTGTGTGCCCCCTAGTGGCCGGTAACTGTAAACATTTTTAGGTCCTGCTTTTAAGTATAAACAAATGGGAAATAATCTACCCCTCATTGATGGACTCCTGTTGATTCATGATTCACCTTACAGTTCTTGTGTATGTCCAAGCCCTCTTTTTTCTAATATTTTAGTAGCATTTGTTATTTGATAGAATCATCATGATCATGCGTGGGTGAGTAGGAGGGACTTTTAGACTAAAACTACAACATGGCGGTGTCTGTTAATGAGAGATTTTGGCTTCAGCTTTGAAAAACAGAGGATGGTTGTGATCATTTGCTCTCACTTTATTCAGTGTATAGTTTGCAGGAACAAAGCTCCAGTGCACCTGTTTGAGGAAGTAGAATTCAGCCAGAGAATGTAGCTTCAGACGATAGGATTTGGAGTCTAAATTCCTGATATTTGGGCATCTCTCCTCTGATTGGCTACGTGGCTCTGCCACTGACTTCATTTGCTTTGCAGCGCTGATGTTTTATCTCCACAAATAGCACAAGCCTGGAGGAATTCTGCAGTAAGGTGGAGATGCTAATGCTAACAGTTAGCTTCTACTAGATGAGACGTTCTCTGTTGTTTCCTGGACACTAAAACAACAACAGCATTCCCTGTTGGGAGCCAAAATGGGTGATTCCACGAATGGTAAGTGACAGTGTGGTGTTGATCTGACGGGCTTTTCTGAACTGAGCATTTTCTATCAGAAACTATTGCAGGAAATTGATGTGCAAGATTATTTTCATGTTCCGCTTGCATGTTAAACTCAGAGTGACTGATCATTTTCAGAAATAATAAGTAAAAAATGGTTTCTTGAATCTGCTCTTTAAAATTAAAACTCACTCTCAGAAATCCTTATCAGTTGTACCAGATGTCTGATCATCCTGGACCCTCTAGTAGATTTTCATGAATAAACATTTTTGGCAATGACAAAGAAAAAAAACAAACTGCATTTCGGCCCTGATGGTAACAGGAGAGAAACTGGTGAAAACCAGCAGCATGGAGGTAAACAGAAACCTCTAGAGCTTTCTAATGGAGGGAAACGGACCTGAATGCAGCTGCTCATAATAGACGCTTCACGCCTCGCTGTGTTTCAAACCAAATATCCAGTCTGCTGCTCCTGAGTGTGGCTCTCTGTGACTCGGCCATTGAAAACTGTAGACTCAGCCTCTGTGGCCTGCAGCGTGCATCCACAACAACAAGCGACTGCCACAGTGCGATGACACGGGCGAAATGGAAAGAATTCAGAGACAAATCGTGCAAAAAGCTGAGGCAGAAAGGAAAGTCCCAACAGGCACACGCAGATAAACTGGAAGTAAACACCCTAGTGACACGAACAAAACTGATGGAATGAAGCAGATTAGCATCAGAGAATCTATCTTAATCCTCCAGAAGACTTGTCATCTGATGTGTGTCTTCTCCTTCACAGTTCACCGGATAGTTGACACACATCACTCTTTGTCAGCTCACTCAGAACACATTAGATCAGCTCCGAGCTGAGTTTCAGCAGAGCACGAGGGAGCAAATCAAAGGTCATCAGGCGTTGTTCCGAATCCAACTCTCAGGGCTCTAATGTACCCTGAGACCTATGATTAGAGCAGATACTTCAGCTTTTAATTGCACAACTACCATTAGAGAACATCCCTGCCTTTGCACACTCCATTATGACATTTCATGTGTCAATAAAAGAGAAGCACTAGCTACACTTTAGGTTTAAGAGCTATTTTATTTCTAAGTGCGGACGCCTACATTCGCAGCATCAGGTGAGGATGAGGTGGTGCGCTTCCCTGAGAACCAAACGCATCAATGAGGCAGTCAGACACTCCAAACAGTGTTTCATTGTAATTCTTTGCCAATCATTTGCTGCCAAAATGGATGCTGACTCTAAAACACACTTGGCCAGTTGACAAACGGCAGTCAAGCGCTTTGCCTCACAGCTACAACAAAAGAGCAGGCATCACAACGGGCAGCAAAAGGAAAGAAAAAGGTCAGCCCAACTCTGGAGCCTCACACAAAGTGTTACTATTCATTTATTCACACTCTGTTGCATCATAGGATGAGATGTTTAGAGAAATAAGTATTAGTGTTCCTATCCAGCTGGGGAAGGGGGGGGGGGTGAGATTTTGAAATTCTGTTCTAACTATTTTGAAAAATGATTAAATAAGGAAGCATGTGAGAGGACAAAAGTAGATTCAAATCCCCCAAAAGATGTTTCAAACTTACCAGACTAACTCCTCTTCTGCCCTGGATTGCTGTCTGCTTCTTCCTCTGTGGTTTTCTTCAATCTGGTTAAATAAAAATGGGAAGAGAAATAAATCACCTGAATTGTCAGAAACAACCTGGACTTCAAAGCAGCCAGAAAATAAAAAAGATTTGCTCTAGGAAGTTTTGTAGCGCATCTGTTTCATCCGCTCTCTTTAACAATGGGCCCATTTCTCCGTGTTTGGATTTATGATAATCTTCTCCCTCTTATATCGGGAGTCTCTTCCGCCCACCATCACACCACAGAATGTCCTGACGTGAGATCTCTTCCCATCCAAGGCTTAGATTCTGAAATGGGAGATTTTTTATCCACATGCGAGCGTGTTGGCTCTTTAGAAGTGCAGTGAAAACACTCCCGACTGAAAGATTTAAGGTGAAAAGAAAGCAAACATCCAAAGCTGTGTAAACCAGAGTGTGATCATGGATCAACAGCGTGCACTCGGAGCCGATAAAGGAGAGACACTTCTCCTCCTCTTGTCTTATCCCATCTATCATCTGTCCTCATACTTCGATGGTTCCTCTCCTTTCTTCTCATTTCCCCGTTGCCACCTTCATCCATGCTTGTTTTTGTTTAAGGCCGTGTCCCCTTTGCATCCTTCACATCCAATCCTGTTGTAATTTGCATCCTCTCTCCTCACATGTCAGCTTTATCTCATGTTTTCTAACCTGTCGCAAACAAATCCTCTTCATTTATATCTCGTCTTTTATTTCTTCTACTCCCTCTGTTCCTTTTTAAGACTCAAGGACACAAACGGTTGTTTTCCCTGCTTTTTAAGAGATCCACCAAATACCATCTATAGATCAAAATTAACCAACTCGGGCTTAGTCTGAAACTCAGAAATCATCTTTTTTTTTTATTTTGGGTAAATAACTGTGTCTTTGCCAAGCAGCGCATCTTTTATAAAATCTATCATTGTCCCATCAAATCACCGTCAAGAAGCACTCATTTACAGGGTCCTGCTTTCAGATCATAGCTTTCTATTGAATTGCTCATCATTTCTCAGACAAATCCATATCAACAGGTCACAGCTGCATTAGAACTGGAAGTCAGTATCAACGCCGAAAACTAGAATAGGTCAACATTTTTACTTTCATATAAGATCGTATTGTAAAGTTTCTAATCACTCGAAATCTAGACAGCAGCTAATTATTTTGTTCTGCTGGTCGGTCTAGGCATGCTCCATTGTAGCCAAAGCAGGTCTACCATTGGCTCGGCTAAGTTTAGGCTGGGCCAATCACAGCACTCTGTGTTTGTAGAGAGACAATGAGCATCTTAGTACTGTTACGGCAGAGCTGTGACAAAGCAAACCAATCAACGGCCTCGGCTGACTTGAAATGCTTCAACTTTGGATGATCTAGACATGGGCTTTTCTTTGAGACACGAGTAGCTCAAGGTACTTTCTCTTCTTCCTCCCCTTTGAGGGTGTGTGGGGTTGCTATGAATATGTCACGTTTGTGGCAAATCTACAATTGTTTGTGATTCGTTGCTCTGATTGGTCATAGCTCTGTCCAATTGTGTGCAGAGACATTTTAAAAGAGAACCATGGATTCCACTCCCACGATCGCGCTCCATCTATGGCTAGGAAAGTAAAAGAGTTACTTACCAACTATATCAATGTCAGTTGATCCTGTTGTAGTATAGGGGCACTTTGAATATTTTCATATTTCTTTTAGGGATAAAATATATATCAGCATCCACGTCGATGTTTGCCAGCGCTAGTTTTGTTTCACACATTGGTACTTGTGCGGTAAGTAAAACTGGGCCGATTGTAACGATTGATGTTTATTCCCATTGGTGTTTGTGTTAGAGGAGATGGAGGTTAGCCATTGGTATTGGTTTGGGCGTGTCACTGTGATGGAGATGCAGCTCAGGATTGTGGAAGGGGGATGGCCGACGCAGAAAAGCAATGTAGGTGGTATAGTCACGTTTATGTTGTGTCGAAAGCGTCATGAACAGTATATCATCATCAGTCAGAACAGCGGTATTCAGAGATAAAACGTTCATATCAGTGCATCCATAATTTCTTCCAAAATAATCATGTAGCCTGACAGCAGGGTATGGTTTTATATAATAGTGTTTACATGAATTGCTGTGTATTTTACATGAGTGGAGCTGTTTTAAGGTGGAAAGATGCACTTTTACTAACAGTTATGGTTTCAAATGCCTCCAGTCTTAGGCTCAGGGCAATGCTTTTGTTTAAATCTTGTTCAGTTAAGAATAGGGATGGGTACCGAATTCGGTACTTTTTAAGGTACCGACCAAATTCCATGGTACCGACCGAGCACCGATTCACGTCATTTCAAACGGTGCCTCGTTTCGGTACCCGTCCTTCATAACGAGAACTTGCCAAGACAGCTGCGCATGCGCAAGAGCGTAATGTCGTCGCTCGCTGCGAGCCTGTTGTAAACAGAGCAGCATGGTAGAAAGAACGCACGCTAAAGCTTGGGTTCACTTCACTAAATGTGATGGGTAACTGGGTGATGATGAAACCAGTGACAACGATCTAAGTGAGACATCCTCATCTTAATCTGCTCCGGTAGGTAAATAAAATGTTTAAGATAATGTTAGCTTGATATGTTAGCTTCCGTTTCGCTAATGGTGCGTTCGCTTTCTCCTCGGAACTCCGAATTTCCGACTGGAAGAACATGAACGCGCTCTAAAGTTTGGCTTCACTTTACTAAATGCGACGGGTGATTGGGTGAAGATGAAACCAGTGACAACGATCTAAGTGTGAGGCATCATCGTTTTAATCTGCTCCAGCAGCTAAATAAACTGTTTAAGATAACGTTAGCTTGATATGTTAGCTTCCATTGCCAGCTAATGGTGCGTTCGCTTTCTCCTCGGAAATTCTAACTTCCCAGTAGGAAAAAAGACGGCAAAAGGAATGAAGATACACAGTAAATTTAGTTCACAGTAAAGATGTTTGCTTCAGTTTAATTATCAGCTTACAAAACTACGAGGACGATGTTAAAATACAAACAGTTGAATGTTATTCATCGTGATATTTATCAAATATGTTAAATATTGAGAAAAATATATATCTAATTATAAAAGAGAATTAAAATAATAAACACTCAAAAGTATCAAAAACTGGTACCATTAAGTACCGGCATCGATTCCTAGGTACCGGGAATTAGTACCGAATCGATTCAAATGTCAAAGGTACCATCCCTAGTTAAGAACTACATCTGCAGGAATAGCCCAGTTGAAAGTGCTCCAGCAGCTGCTGTTTGAACTTTTAACTTGAAGTAAATATTTTGGAGATTTGAGTATTATTTAATCCACTTTAATCATGGTCGCATTCGAACTAGTTGTTAGTTGATCAACCAAGTCAGAACTAATCTGATTTTCCAACTGAGATTGTGTAACGAGGTTCCTACAACAGGTTCATAACTTGAAACTTGGTGTGGGAGATACTATGCAGATGTGTCTCAGTGAAATCAGATATGAACCATCCCATTGTACTGAATTAACTGTCTGGACTCATTTTTTAGCTGACGATACTCTAGTCCATTCTCTTCTCTTCAAACCGTTTCATTGTGAACACAGACACACCCAAAGGAATTGACGAGCAAAATGATTGAAGAAGCCAATCCAATTTGCTGCTAGCAACGGCTTATCGACTTCAGTCTGCTGCTCAAAATAAGAAGCCCTACTGAGACAAGCCACCGTTTCCACTTGATTAAATATGAACGCTGCTTTTCTGTCGCCACTAACGTGCAACAACAGGTTTATATTAACTAGGTTTCACACGAACATCACATTTCTTCAGTTGTTTTCTTTATAACTAAACATGATTTGGTTCAGCTGTTTCTTAAACACTGATTTATGCTTTTTCTCCTAAAATTACTTATTTCAAAGATCTGATTTCCAACCCCTGACTGTAGTGAACATGTAACACACCAGTAAATCCGATGCTCCCACAGCCCTGGATTTAGGAGGTTTCTGACCCAGATTTGAAGAAACTACTGACACACGTGTTCCTCTCTCCCAGCATCACGGCGTATTCCTGCTGACAACTGTGTTGACTTCACATCACAGCACAGACACACCTCGCTCTAATTCAGATCTTGGATTTCAACCTTAGACCAGATTTTTTTAGCTCCTTCATGCATTACCAGCTGATTCAAGTTGATATTTGGAAGGATGTAACAACAAAATGACCTTTTCCACATCCTGTTTTGAACCATCTGAGCCCTGATCCCATCAAAAGCAGCCTCGCCCCGTGACATTGTGCCAGCCACCCCGACACCTTACACACCACAGAGCCGGGCCAGGCTCGGTCCAGATCGGCTGCCATGGACATAAGACTGGGGGGGTGGCTAAAGCTGAAAATAGCCTGAGATCATGCACACCGTGACCAACTACACGACATACTACGAGTCCTGTCAAACAACATAGGCACCAACATTCTACAAATAGAAGTAATATAAGTAACCACAAATGGTTTATAGTTGGAATTATAATTACTGCCTGTTGCTTGGAGGGAAACTCATACATGCGTGTCTTTGTCATCATCCCTTTAATTATCACAAAAACACAACCCGACGGTATAACAGACAAGCTGTGACAAGTTTAGATGAGTGTTTACCAGTCTGTCGGAAAGCTGTAACACGTAAAAACATAGGACACACAAAAAAATCATCTTTGATGCTAATTTCACTGGTTTGCATACAGGTTTACCAGCATCCTTTATAAGTGGTAATGCTGGTGCTAAGGCGGTGTTGAGACAAAGCAAACACACACTGAAGGGAGATCTCAACCCCTCCAAACAAAAATCACTTTGAGTTGTGATTTTTTTCTTTTAGTATTGTTTTCTTGACTTTGTAGAGATGCAATAACCTCTCTCTAATGCCGTTTTAGTTTTTCACTGTGTTATATAAGATGTGACAAGGTAAAGCGAGATGTCAACAGGTTGAACAAACACAGCTCGCTGCAGATGAGGCCAAGGGCTGTGGTCTCTAATGAGGTGTGTGTATTCTTGTTTTTCTTTTCATGTGCACGTGTGCGTGCGTGCATGTG